GCAGAGATACCCTGCAGAGCCTGAAGAACTACAGAAGATGATACCACAGAACACCTAATATTTTATAGTCCAAGTAATCAATATCTGTTTATTGATCTGTTTGCTAATTACTATCAGTCAGTGTTCCCATACCCTAATTAGCAAGAGAGCTTTAGTGTACACCATCAAGAAATGTAGACCATCTGTATGAAGTCAGTGAAGTTTGGAATTTCCCCCCTCTTTCAAGCTATTTACCCTAGGGTGGTGACATCAACCTCAGAAGAATCAGCTAGTTGCACTTCCAAAAGCTAAAGCATTGTAAAAAGCACTAAACACCTACATCTGTTAAGGCATAAGATATGTTCCTTGATTGTGCTGCAAAGGAATACAAATGATCATGAACCTTTCCTGCAATGAACAAGTTGTTGCACCTTTAGGATGAGCTTGAGGATGAACAGAAAATGTGATGCCATAACATCTGGAGATAAAAGATTTTCATACTGCTGCTGGCTTAGTTGTTACCACATGTTAGATTCAGTTTGCTACTCAGTGAGTAAGAGTGACCTTTTTAATTACTAAAACAAAGCAGCAAGTGTCATGATTAATACCTGAGTGAGAGATTCCAGGCTGTGTTGAATTCCAGTGATGACCATTATGGTGCTGGTTTGCCCAAGCCTTTGCTATGCTCGCAACAGTTGATTTTTTAAGATTCATCTCCTGTTTCCCCATATTAAATTCACTTTTCTGATCACTATGTATCCTTGTTAATTCAAGCACAGGCTAGCCAGCTTTTAGACCTCAGTCCCTTTCAGAAGGCACTGTTTTGTGTTCTCACTGCTGATATACAGATTGACTTTCGCTCCCAGCACAGCATCATCTAGGAATAACTATTACTGCAACTTAAGCTTGTACAGAAGGGCTTCTTTATTCTGAAAGGTGCTTTAATTGGCAAGCTTTTTGCAGTTGGTGAGAACTCTGCTGCAGATCAGTCTAGTTTTACCACTAGGTCATCTGCCTCTACCTTAATTAAAGGCATTAAGCCTTTAAAAATTCCTCCTAGTACTTACTTTAAGTGCAGTAAAATTTTCAGCTATCCTGTTTTTAATCATAGCATAGAGAAAGGATATAGTAAAGAATGTCATTAGAAAACACCAAAAACCTGCAATGGTGCCACTGCAGCCAAACACAAGATAAGAGCACAAGCATGGCTACGCAAGGAGCTGAGGGCGACCCTAGCACTTAAGCGACACAGTCCCACAGTACCTGAGCAGGGCAGGCAGAGCCAGGGGTGGCAGCAGGATCCACCCAGGAGCAGTAGACGGCTGGAAACACAGTTACAGGGTAGAGGTAAAGCACATCCAGAATGATCTAGGGGAAGTAGATGTGCTCAGCCCTGAGCTTAAATGGAGCTCGTGGACCAAGGAGCAGAGGGGTGTGGTTGGGCCCCAGGTGAGGCTGGTGAGGACAATAAGACCTATTGGTGCCCTTGACACTGACCACTATCAATAAAAAGTTTTTGATAAAAGAATCTCTTATGTATTAAGCTTTTGTTTTGGTTGTTAAAGTTATTCTGAAAGTTGGAGCTTCATTAATTATGCTGTTTGCTCATCTCTGGCACAGAATAGTTGGAAAACCTTTTTTTCTTTCAATACCCACTACTCCTGCTTTCTCTCTATGTGGCTGTCACCTCACACCACTGTATCTAATTGATGTTCTCCACTCCTAAAATTACGGTCTTTGGCATTCACACAGATGTCCCCTCAGGCACATAACCTCCCACCTTGCTGTCTTAATTCATCCTTCAACTTGTAACTATGCTGCTATTTTTCTGCACCGTTGTAATTTAACATGGCTCCTCCTCAGACCTAACCATGATTGTATTTCTGCTCTCCTGCTACCTTTTGTAGAGTTTCTTGGACAATCTACAAGCTATTAACATTCCTGACTTTTCTTTGTAGTTCACCCCTCTCTGTCATCGGCTTACTGGCCAATTTCTTTAGCTGTACATTTTCTTTAGAATGTTTAATACTTGCACAACCCTGTTTCATCAGTGTTTATCTGAACCAAACTCTAAACCTGACTCACTTGCAAACAGTCCCCTGCTGATTTTGATGAGTGGTTTCCCAAAGGATACCAAAGCCACTAGATAAAAGAAGCTGCTGCTCTTGTTGCCTAGGGAGCACGGAATATCCAGGAAGAAGGTTAGAAGCTATGTAAGTTTGGTTTGTCCTAGCTTCTTTTTTTTTGCTTATTTTCTGTCAAATGCAATGTATATCAGTCTCTCTCTTCTACTCTTTAAAATAATGCCCTGCCCTTCCTCTGTGTTTACTTCTTCAGGCAAAATTATAAACTTCCTCCTGTCTTCAGTGGCCTTCCTCTTGTCCTTGTTCCTTTATCGCATTTTTTTCTTCTGAATTACATTCACTTTTACTACTTCAATTCTGAATAAAAATTAATAGAATTTTCAGCTTTACAG